GAGTCAAGCAGGCTCATCTATTGGAATCCTAACTCAGTTACTGTCTTCATGACTGGGCAAGCCCCTTGACCTGTCTGACTCTGAGTTTTCTTATCTCTAAAACAGAGATAATGCCTGCATTTGTCATCTATTGCTGCATAACAACAATTACCCCAAAACATAGGGGCTTAAAGTAGCAAACGTTTATTATCTGATAGTTTCTGTGGGTCAGGAATCCAGGCGCAGCTCAGCTGGGGACCTTTGGCTCAAGGTCTCTCATGAAGTTGCAGTTAAGGTATTGGCCAGGCCTGGGGTCTGAAGTGAAGGCTCAACCCAGGGACAATCCGCTTCTAAGCTCACTCACATGGTTGGCAGGACCCAGTTCCCCGAGAGCTATTGGACTGAAGCTTAGGTTCTTCACCAGCTGTTGGCTGGAAGCCTCCCTCAGTTTTTTGCCACAGGGCAGCTCACATCATGTCAGTTGGCTTCTCTCAGAGCTAGCAAGCTAGAGAGTGAGAGAGGGCCCCCAAGACAGAAAGCCAGAATTTTTTTTAAAGTATTTTATTGCATTTTTGGTCAAAGTATACACAGCAGAACAAGTTCTCATTCAACAATTTCTACACATAATGTTCAATGACTGTCATGGATTGAATTATGTCGCCCCAAAAAATGTGTGTATCAATTTGGCTGGGCCATGATTCCCGGTATTGTGTGATTGTCCTCCATTTTGTGATTGTAATTTTATGTTAAAGAGGATTAGGGTGGGATTGTAACACCACCCTTACCCAGGTCACATCCTGGATCCAAGTAAGCAGTTTCCCTAGCGTGTGGCCTGCACCACCTTTTATCTCTCAAGAGATAAAAGGAAAGGGAAGAAAGCAGAGAGTTGGGAACCTCACACCACCAAGAAAGCAGTGCCAGGAGTACAGCATGTCCTTTGGACCTGAAGTTCCTGTGCTGAGATGCTGCCTGACCAAGGGAAGACTGATGCATCACAAGGACCTTCCTCCACAGCCTACAGAGAGGGCCTTCTGGAGCTGATGCCCTGAATTTGGACTTATAGCCTACTGGACTGTGAGAGAATAAACTTCTCTTTGTTAAAGCCATCCACTTGTGGTCTTTCTGTTAGAGCAGCACTAGATGACTAAGACAGTGACATTGGTTACATTCTTCACATTGTGTCAACGTTCGCATTATTTCCATTCCAGTTGTACCATTCCCATTAACTTAGTCTTAAACTTCCCCCCGACCTTCTCATCCTTGCTTTAGAGTAACTGTTGTTTGTTTGGTCTCATATAGATAATCTTTTAAAAGAGTACTCAAGGAAAGCCACACTTTTTATAACCTAATATCAGAAGTTTCAGCCTATCACGTCTGCCATATTCTATTTGTTAGAAGTCACTAAATCCAGCCCAAACTCAAGGAGAAGGGATTACATGAGGATGTGAATATCAGGAGTCTGGGATCAACAGGGTTATTTTAGCGACTGCCTACCACAATGCCTCTAATGTGAAGGGTAAAATTATTACAAAAAAAATTATGTATATATATATAGGGCACAGTAGTTAAGCGTTTGCCTGCTAACTGAAAGGTCAGCAGTTCAAATCCATCAGCCACTCCTTGGAAACCCTATGGGGCAGTTCTACTCTGTCCTATAGGGTCACTATGAGTTCGAATTGACTTGATGGCAACTGGGTTTATATATATATATGCACACATATATGTACATGTGTAAAGCATCCAGCATATATAGTAGGAGCTTAATAAATAACATTATTAGTGAACAACAACTTCTGGTAGAGAATACTTGCATAAAAGCCACAGATTTGTACCTCCCAAAGAAAACTAGATAAACTGTAAGATAGACTCATTCTTATCTAAAGTTTTTGATCGCCAATATGGTTGTGCTTAACTGCATTTCAGACTAAATTTTAGTCAGTGGAAGTAACATTTCTAAAATGTTTACTTAACATTATGAGAATGAGAAAAACCACAGGGTAAGGGCAGGTGTTCCCAGTTGCTAGGAGAGCAAAATCCCTATAGAGATTAGTCATTTTGAAGGTGATGCTTAATAATGGCCTTAACAAAAGATGATGCCTAATGGTTTATTTTTAACTTTAATATTAGTGGAAAAAATCAGATAAGTGTTGAGACCAGAGGCTGCAGCACTTGTGTTTTTCAGAAAAAACATTTTAAAAAAGTTTGTGGTGAAGGAAGTTCATTCCTGAAATGTAATCCTTTGCCTCCTATTAAAAGAATTTTTTTTAATTCTGTGATTATGCACATGATCTAATACATCTCCCTTTGACATACCTTTCTTATGAAAACAGTTGTGTTGGAATTATTTGTCAATGTGACTGTTTCTCCCACTAGAACGTGAACTTTTTGAGTGTAGAGTCCTTGCCTTAGTTTTATTTATATCCTCAAGTCCTAACACAGTGCCTGGCACATGGAAGGCACTCAAGAAATATTTGTTAAATGCTATTAAATAGTCTATCTCCACCATCCTCTTTTAAAAACAATTGAGATTAATTACGATGCTTAGCACTCATGCTCTACTAGGGCTTTTTTTTTTTTTTTTGTATACTTAGGTGAGATACAGTAACTAAAAAAAAACAAACAAACACTAATTCAAAGATCTCAAAATGGATCAGTCATAAAAATTCAATTCTTGAAAACTTGAGCTTTTCAGAAAGTGGTGACTTACCCACAAGAACACACCTTCTGCAAAAGATCTCCCTTCGCCCCTGTCCAGAAGAGAAGAGGACACACAAGAAGAAGCACCTGGTGCAGAGCCCCAATTCCTACTTCATGCATATGAAGTACTCAACCCAAAAAAACCAAACCCATTGCTGTTGAGTCAATTCCGACTCATAGCGACTCTATCGGGCAGAGTAGAACTGCCCCATAAGGTTTCCAAGGAGCAGCTGTTGGATTCAAACTGCAGACCTTTTGGTTAGCCCCCAACTCTTAACCACTGTACCACCAGGGTTTCCGTGAAATGCCCATGGTTTTAGCCATATAAAAATGGTGGTTTTGTGTGTTGGCTGCTCCACTGTGCTCTGCCTGCCTAGAGAAAGAAAAGCAAGGCTCACAGAAGGGTACTTCTTCAGAGGATGCAGCACTTTTAAAAGCATCCTGAATTGAGCGGGAAATTATCCAAATAAACACATTTCAGATACATTTAAAAACATTTTTTTTGAAATAGTTTTATAATAGGATTCCACAAGAAATTAACAAGTGAAGTATACTAAACGTACCTAGGTATACTAAAACATGTCTCTTCTTTTCTATGAGTTAGTTGGTGGTTATGCCTATATAAAAAAAATAAATTTCTCTAAATGTGGGTATCAAGTCGAGTTGAAGTATGCTAACTAGGAATGAGAAAACACTGCAATGAATATGATTTTTCTCAGATGGAAAAGAAGCATTCATAAGAGTTCAAGAATCTGCTGTAATGAATCAAAGGACAGTGTTCTATTTCTGCTGGAATGTTAGTTTATTCCTTGTTAAGTTCCTGACTTTTGTCAGACTTATTGATCTCACCCCTCATTTGCCCACAGATACTGCATTTTGAGCTGGAACAAAGGTTTCTTTGCAGAAAAGTGGCTCTGAATGGTGGGTTTTAAAATATTCCTTCATTCTCTCTGCTTGTTCCTTCTTTATGCTATCTCTTTTGTTGTCATTTAACCCTCATCTTTCTCATTTGTCTCCTTCCCCTCTTTTTCTTCTAGCTGATCTTCTCACTTTCTCATCAAATACTTCTTACCCGTTTACCCCAGTGTCTTCCCTTTTTTTCTTTACTCCCCATCTATATTCACCATCTGTTCTACCTTACACTGCACTTTTCTTTT